GGAAATCAAATTCAAGACCTCACGCTTAGCAGGCAGCTGCTGCACCACTGGACTACATCAGGAGAGCACTCTTGTGACCACCACTCAGGTCAAGAAATAAAAGTATATTTTTGGTTTTTATTTGCTTGTTCATCTTTTTTGTTTGTTTTGTTTTTACCTTTTTGAGACAGGGTCTGACTATGCAATGTGAGCTGTTTGAGCTCACTTTGTAGCCCAGGCTGGCTGAAAACTCATGGCGCTCTTCCTGCCTCAGCCTCCCCAGTGCTAGGATTGCGGGTGTGCCCCATGCCCGACTCTGTCTCTGTTTTTCCTGCCAAGTAGCAGCTGATCCAGAGGCTTGACCAGGCGCAGGCTTGATCCCCTGGGCAATTGTGTGGTGTATTTTGTCCTTTCTCAGTGCACCTCGTGTCCACTTAGGACATCAGCAACTTCAGTGATGTCCAGTGACCCTGCGCTGGGACCTCACTGGTTCCAGAACAGGGACTCTCTGGTTCTGTTGTTTTTTTCGTGTTGGATGGAATATCACTCCATGAGATGCTGCCCCCTTGACCGCTATTTGGTGATGAATCTGGGGGAAATATAATTAAAAATGAAACCTTTCCATTTAGAAATTTCTCTCCACAAAATATAGGGGAAAAGCAGTTTTATTACTGAAAAAGCATTAACCAAACTGCAGTGCACATTACGCACAACGTGCTAGGGAGACTGCAGAGGCAGAGAAGAGCCCTCTCTATGGCCAGGCAGATGCAGCCCGTTACATGCATGTTAATGTGCTTATCAAAAAGGAGAAACCGCAAGCCGATCCTGCCGGCATGCACCTGTGAGCCCAGCACGCTGGGAGGCTGGGCAGGAGGGCTGCCAGTTCAAGCCCACGCTGGGCTAATTAGGGAGAAATTGTTTCAAAAGTGAAAAGGATTGGGGCTGTGCTTCAGTGCAGAGGCCTTGGGCTCAATGCCCAGTATCCATGGGGGATGGGGAAAGCGAAAGGACGTTGCCCATCTTACGGCAAGCAAACATCATCTTACCGGGTCAAGCACTAGGCTGAAATTAAACCCTCATGGGACAGGGCTGCAGGCCCTGCCCTCCTGGAACTTCATATTTTAAGGAGAGATGTGTCAGCCATGACTGAGGGTTCCCGGGTGAAAAACTGGCAAGAGGCCTGCTTGATTTTCAAATGATTTTATATATTTCCAAAAGACAAAGCACCCCGGGCTTTTATTTTTTTTATTTCAAGACATCGTCTTGGGGCTGGTGAGATGGCTCAGTGGTCTAAAGCGCCTACTTAGAACAAGCTAAGCTAAGCAGAACACAGGGACCGCAGTTCAATCCCCAGCACCACATGCCAGCCAGGCCCGCCCCCTGGTGGGCTGAGCTGGCCACACACATACTAAATAAATAAAAAAATATTTAAAAAAAAAAAAAAAAAGACATCGTCTTGCTAAGACATGGCTTTGCTCAGCTGATCCTCCTGTCTCAGGCTCCTGGGGTGCCGGGGTTCCAGGATCCCGCACCCTGCTCTGACAGCTACTGTTGAGCCCAGGTATCACCAGCTGCTGCAGCAGGTGCTGCCTTCTCCCTGTGTCCTCAGCATGGGACGAAATACAACACCCACAGGCTCACGGAGGAGTGTGGTTCCTGGTTTAGTTGGTGACTGGCTGGCTGCAGGGTGGAAACCAGATGGGTGGTGAGGGACAGGGGCTCAGCCCGGGGTGCAGGGAGAAGTGGGGCCCAGGGCACCCTCGCAGCGCCCACCCGGAGACCTGCAGCCAGGCCCTGCCTCCTCACGGCACCCTCAGCTCTGAACTCAGTGCGTGAACCCACTGGTGACACACTGGCCCACGATCCATCACCTCCCACACTCAGGCTACTCTGGGGAACCCTTTAGAGGGACACAGAACGCGGCATGATGGAGACACCTGGTCACTCGGCAGGTTCTGGGTTAAAGGCAGTCACAGGGGCAGGCAGGGCGGCTCCTACTTGGGCGAGCAGCTAGTTCTGAGTCACAAGGCCACTCAGTGTCAAGGCCAGGCCAGGGCACGGGGACCAGGACGGCTGGAGGGGAACTCTGGGCTGGAGGGAAGTCATAGCTTATGGGCCAGTTCAGGAGGGGTGGCAGTGTGGTCTGGAGCCAGGATCTGGGTCCTGGGGCTTAGGGCTGCAGGACGCCCTCCTGCTGGCTGTGGCCCAGAGCTGGGGCACACCAGGCCAGAGGGGGTGCATGCACCATGTGGCTGCCCAGGACCAGGATGCACAGGGAGGGGTCACCTCTGTTGCTCCCTGGACCTCTGCCCTAAATACTTTACTGCATGATTGTTGCTGTTTAGTTCTCCCTTGCTGCTAATAAGCAGTGCAGGCCATGCAAATACTGTGCTGTCTCCCCAAATCACCCTACATTTGGCACCCTCAAGAGGGGTCGGGTGATCCTCCCCCAATCCGCTCTTTACCACCATGATTGCCAAATAGGGATTCACTGACTCGGCCAGGCACTCTGCACGTCCCACCCGCCTCCTTGGTCTCCTGTCAACAAGAGAGCGCGCTGCCCAGTCCTGGGTTTGGGGACTCAGCATACGAACTTGTGAATTCCCATTTTTTCAGCAATGTATGATTTATTGTTTAATGGTTTTGTCCCAGACTTGCCAGTGGCAACCCCTTCAAGTTGTTGCTCGTGTCCTGGGGACAAAACCAATTTATCTTTTTCTTTTTAAAAATTATTTCCTTATGTTCTGGAGTAACAAGGGGTTCAGCCGTGTCCCTTTACCAGCTCTGCACCACCTGGCTGCCGCGAGCTGGTCTCTGTAGTGGCGCCTGGTGTTAGAGTTCAAGTTCAGTGTGTCAGGAGTCCTCTTAGTAACCAGAAGTTCTGAGTTTCTTGGCTTTTTTTAACTGACCAAGCTAGGGATATATACACACGCGCACTGGAGCACACATTTCAAATTCGTACAGGTATACCAGTGACACAGGCAAGGGACGGCCAGATAGCTCAGTGGACTAAAGCACTTGCTTAGGCAGGCTCAGTGACTGGGGTTCGATCCCCAGCATGCCATGCCAGCCTCACCCCTGGGTTGCCCTGAGAAGGTGACTAAGATTGGGCGTGGTGGTGCCTGCCTGCAATCCCAACTCTTGGGAGGCTGAAAACAGGAGAATCACTACAAGTCCGATCTGTGTAGCAAGACCCTGTAGACTCTGTTAAACACATAAAAAAAAATCATGACCCAGTGACATAGGCAAGCCTGTATATTTTATAGAAACCATTATTTTACATTTATACTGGCTGTATCAACACTGTTTAACTGTATATTACATCTAAAACAGTCTTTTGTTTGCTTTGCAGAGAATTAGACCCAGGACCTTTATATTCTGAGACAGGGTCTCACTGGGTTACTCCTGCCTCAGCCTTCCAGGGCGCTGGAATGGTAGGCGTGTGCTGCCACGCCTGGCTCTATCTGAAATAGCTTTTCTGAGTCCCGCGGCCCACACCCTCACAGCAGCCGACCTACTAAGGGCTCAGGCTTGCCTTGCAATCCTCTCTGCTCTCCCCCACGTGGCCTCCCGCAACTAATGCTGAGTAGTTAAATACTGTGTTAAATTCCTGGAATTTTAAAAAAAATTCCCTTTCAGTGTGGTTATGGATCTAATTTGAAATAGAATTTCATTGTTTCCATTTGTGTTCAGACTTAGTTTACTTTCCATTCTTGCTAACTGATTTTTTTTTTTTTTAAATATGAGGATGTTACTGGGGTGTGGTGGTTCCCCCAGGAGGCTGAGGCAGGAGGATTATTATGAGTTTGAGATCAGCCTGGGCTACAGAGTGAGCTCAAGGCCAGCCTACACTGCATGGCAGGAGCCTGTCTCAAAAGGACTAAATAAATAAATAATGTTGCCATATTTCAAAAGTTTAAACTAGGAGCTGGGAACATGGCTCAGTAGAATAAGTGCTTCCCTGGCAAGTGCAAGGGTCTGAGTTCAATCCCCGGTTCTGCCAAAAAACTGCCATCTGTCATGTATTGGAAAAAAAAAAAAAAAAAAAAAAAAAAAAAAAGAGTGAAAACTATATAAAAATGATGCATTTTCAAAGAAATGTCACCTCCACCTGTTCCCCCCGTCCCTGTGGTTAAACAGCTGTTTCTGATTTATTCTTGAGTTTTATTTAGTAATGATAAGTTGTTTATTTATTTATTTTTGTATTTTAGCAAAGGGTCTACAGGGTGTTCCGGGTCTCACTACTAGATCAGACTCATAGTGATCTGCCTGCTTACAGCCTCCCAAGAGCTGGGATTACAGGCATATGCCACCACGCCCAGTCTCAATTGCCCTCTCAGCACACCCCGAAGGTGGGGCTGGCACTGCAGGCCTGGGGATCAAACCCCTGGCCTCTGTGCCTGCTTGCAGGTGCTTTAATCCACTGAGATATTTATTTACTTTTATGTATTTGGTACAGGGTCTCACTATGTAACTTGAACTCGTAGTGATCCTCCTGTCTCAGCCTCCCCAGTGCTGGGATTACAGGCATGTACCACCACGCCTGGCCTCATGTGCTGGGGTGGGGCCAGCATGGAATGTGGTGCTGGAGATTGAACCTAGTCCCTGCACTTGCCTAAGCAGGTGCTTAGTCCACTGAGCTATCTCTCCAGTCCTAATAATAAGTTGTTATGTGTGTTTTATTTTTTATTTCTCATGCAAAACATAGCTAATCAAAGCCAGTGTCAAATGATTACATTCTTAAAATGTTATTATAGGAAAAGACATGTCACCATTAGCCCCCCTGCCCCAGGCCCTTCCCCTCCTACGCATCCCATCATTCTGGCCACTTTCTGAAGCAGTTTTGCAAATCTCTTTCGTAAGTGTCTTTCTTTGTGTTGCCCTGGTTGCCTCAATATCCTGCATTGGTGCAAAATATTTTCCTCTCATGGTCATTTGACCTTGGGGAGGACTCAGAAGTTGCAGTGTCCCAGCGTGATGAATGCGGGGCATGAGGACACGCGGGAACATTACTCGGCAGTGTGGCCCTGAATCAAGGCCGGCACTTTCTGAAGCTGTTGGCTTCAAGCAGGAGCCTAAAGTGCTGTCTCTCTATGGTCTGTTGGCCATTTCAGAACTTTAGACATGCAATGGCCAATTCATTAGAAAGAAACAAGTAAAAAAAAAAAAAATGTTACTCGACAGAAATTGTTTTGACTCGATTTATGACTTTGAGGCAACCATGAGAACACTCACGAAAGAAGAAGCGCTTCAGAAGGTGGCGAGAGCAACGCGGGAAGTTTGTGCGTCGAGGGTGGGTATGTCTCCTTTACTGTAACCACGTGAAAAAGCGTAGGGCTGGGGAAGCAGCTCCGCAGTTTAAGCGCTGTGTGACAAGCTCAAGGTCCTGAGTTTGATCCCAGGTACAAAAAAAAAAAATTAATGTAAGCACTCAGTATGTTTTTGTCACATTACACCTCCTATGTTTTTTCTGCAGTTTAATTTCATTTTTTTTCTGCAGCTTAATTTCTTTGCTTAATATCTTCTGGCATTCATTCCATACCAGTTCATAGACATTTCCTTCATTCGTGTACAGCTCCAACCTACACCCCATAATTTAGTCCACCAATTCCGTCTGCTTGGACATTTAGATAGTTTTCAATCTTTAGAAGTTTAAAAGGTACTGCAATGAATAAGCCATGTCTATATGTTTTGCACTGTCACCAGGTATCTCCAGACAAATTCTCAGAATGGAGACTGCTGGCTCAACAAAGGGTGTGTTTGTTTCTTGTTGCTGCTTAATCAGTTACGATGAAGTCGGCTTAAAGCAGTCAGAGCTCCGCAGGCTCCGGGGGGCTCTCTGCTCAAGCCGTCCCAGGGCATAAATCAGGGTGGCGCTGAGTCCCATCCAGACGCTCTGGAAGAACCCACTTCCGCAAAACTTCAGGGGGAGAACTCAGTTCCTGGGAGGGGCGTCTCCATGTTGCTGCTGGCTCTGCCGCGTTCCTCACCCAGTGGCCACCCACCTTCAAGCCTGCAGTGTTGTGCGTGGAATCGTCCTCAGGCTCAGCGATTTCCTGATTTTTGGCAAAGATAGAGAAGGGTGTAAAATGTTCAGTGTGAAAAAGACACTCAGTGGTAACTGCAGCCCAGCGGAAACTGAACTCAACTTTGACCCGTGTAGAAGGGGCGGCGGCTGGCGTGGTGGTTCATTCCTGTAATCCTGATACTCAGAGAGGCTGAGGCAGGAAGATCCTCAGTGTAAACCCCAGCCTGAAGCATTTAGCAAGATTCTGTCTCAAAAATAAGGGGTGTGGGAGGAGGCTGCGGATGTACTGCAATGTGAAGGCCCCGAGTTCATTCTCCACTACTGAACAAGAAAAAGTGAGTGCGGGGGCTGGCCAGATAGCTCAGTGGACAAAGGCACCTGCTTGGGATCCCCAGCACCACATGCTGTGCCGGCCCTGCCTCTGGGGCACGCTGAGAAGGCTACTGAGACTGGGTGTGGTGGTGCGCCCCTGACCCCAGCGCTTGGAAGGCTGAAAACAGGAGGATCACTGAGTCCAGTCTGTGTAGTGAGACCCTGTGGACCCTGCACTAAATACGTAAAGCAGGTGCTCAGTAGAGCCAAGGAATAAAAGATGACAAAGGGTGGTCAGGCCAACTACATCTGCTGGCTCTTACCAAAGTCAGGATCTGATCTCCCCAGACCCAAGACAGAGCCCCATCCTCCAGGGCCACCCATGCTAAAACTCATGGCAGCTTTGAGCTTCCTCAGGCCGGCACTTGGAGGGGACCAGAATCATCTAGGGACATAGCCTTGAGGTGACAGAAGTTGCCTCAGTGTTTGCCCAAGTCTGTTGGCCAAGGTGAAGGCCTAGTAAAGAAGAGAGCTCACAGGAGCTGGGCTAGAGTTTGGTCAGGGAGAGAATCTCTGTTAGTTTCTCTTCTGTCACAGGCCAAGGGGCTCCTGAGATTAGATTAGTCTTGCTGGATGCTATCTTTAGATCTTGAGTGTCCCCCAAAAGACTTATGTTAACTATGGGATCCTCAGCTTGATGCTGTGGGAAGGGTGTGGACCTGTAAGAGATGGGGTCTAGTAGAGGTCATAGGTCACATGGGGCATGCCCTGAAGGGCACTGTGGGATGCTGGCCTCTCCCCTTTCTCTTTGCTTCCCAGAGTCAAAAGTTGCAGGGACCATCTTAAAATTCCCAGTCTTCCTTCCCCAGTGGCCCAAGCCAGCACCCACAAGACTGATAGGAAGTCTGTACTGTGTGGGTGTCTTAGCCAGGCCTAGGCTAAATGAGCCTTTGGTGTCCTGCCACAGAAGGAGCCTCAGGAATAGGAAAGAGCCTTCAGTGCTAATGGGAATTTCCTCAGCATTCGGAGTGCGGGAACACCAGTGAATCTGGGGTATATACAACCTATTTCATAATTTATAATATACATTTTCATTCTTATTTATACTTTCAGGATCTCACACCAGAGAGATAACGCAATATTTACACTTGGGTGTCTGTTTTATTTCACTTAAGAATATGGTCTCAAGGTTCATCCACTTAGCTATAAATGTTTTATGCCTATCCTTCTTTATGGCTGAGTAATATTCCACTGTATTATAAAACCACATCTTTTTTAATCATTCACTGGTTGATGGGTATTTGGGCTATTGCCAAGATGTAGCTATTACAAATTGTGCCACTATAAACATGGGTGTGTATATGTCATTCTTGTACGATGCTTTTCATTCTTTTGGGAAGATACCAAGAAGGGGAATAGCTAGGTCAAATGTCATCTCTTGTTTTAGGAGGAGTCCCTGCATTGATTTCCCGAGTGGTTGCCCCAGTCTACAGCCACCAGTAGTGGAGAGCAGTTCATTTTCCCCAGCGTACTGCCAGCATTTGTTATTGGTTGGTTTCTTGGTAGTGGTGTGGTGGGTTAACCAATGGTCAACTTGTAACACTGACCTGAACTCAGTCAGAGTGGTGCTGGGTGCGGAAGGCCCACCTAAGGACTGTCACCAACAGCATCAAAGAAGACCTGGAGGGGAGGCTGGTGCTCTGCTGATTCTCCCAGAGAAGCTTGTCACGCTGGTTTTTCTAATAAGAACTCTTCCGTTCTCATCCCCGAGGAGCTTGGGTCCTCTGTCGCTGAGGATGGCTGTGGTTCCCTTT